CGTCTGTGGATTAATTCCATTTTTCTCTACAGAAAATCTGCCAGGCTGTTATTGGACCGAACATCCAATCAGATTCAGACAAACACCAAACTGCACGTTGTGAAAATATATGGTGAACTGTGATGAAAGCCCACAAAATTCCCCAAACGTACAAGCAATTAATCAGCTTTCTGGAGACACACAAGCCCCGCCCACTCGATAAAAGCTAATGCCAAACAGAAGAGAGGAGAGCTCAGGCAGGCAGGAGCCAATCAGGAGAAGGCGTAGCAGTGATACTTCACCTGGAGGTCATGTAACGGGGTCGGCTTGTGCCGTCACTGCTCCCCAGTGTAAGTTACATAATGCAGTTAATGTATTTCAATCCTCTGATGCTAATTAAAAGGTAGGCAGCAGAGAGAGACTCTGAAACTCACAACCTGAAGGGAGGAAAAGGAAAACACATCACACGGTCCTCGCGGGGACGCAGCTCAAGTTCACGAGAAGTTCGGCTCAGAAACACGTTAACGCTCGTGTCTCGTCCTCCAGGTCAGATATAAAGAAGACTTCGAGAAGATGAAGGGACAGAGTCTGTTTGTTCCCGGAGCCGAACTCATCCACGCCAAGAACATCAGCGCTGTGATCTCTGAGGTCTGACACACATCGTACTTGTGCTTGTTAAGTGAGGACCAGGCCAGATCTGCTGTCTTTGTCTAATATTTCCTCGTCTCTGGGGTCTAAAATCGGCCCTACGATGACTCGTTCTCTCGCTTTTAAACATTGATCGAGTTGTCTGCTCATTGTGCTGAAATGTGACTGTTTCAGTCTAAGTATAAGGAGGAGGGGAAGAAGGAGGCGGCTGTTTCTCTGTACTCCATCCTGCCGGAGACTCCGGAGACGCAACATGCCAGAGAGGCTTCAGAGCTGCAGAGCGAGGTAGTTCAACGTAGTCAGTTTCTCCACACGAGCCACGTTTACAGCGTTCTCATAGAAAGTATGGCTGAAACTCTGAAGACAAGACGATGTCTTAAAAAGAGGATTGATGAAGCGAGACTTTAGCACTGACAGAGTCGCGTGTGTTTGTTTTTCAGATTAAATACAAAGGAAACGTGAAGACGAAGATTTCCTCGTCCCTTTATTCTCTGCTGCCAGAAACCACAGAGACCCAGTTTGTCAAAGAGCTGTCTGAGATACTGAGCGAGGTCAGAGCCGACGGAGGGATTGTTGAGACTGAATGTTAAAGTGGAAAATAAATGAAGACGAGTGAATGAAGTGTTGTGTCAGCACCACTCGTCCCTCTGAAACTCTCTCTGCTCCTCAGAACAAGTACAAGGAGGAGGGAAAGAAGGAGATGAGCAGCAGTTTGTACTCTCAGCTTCCAGAAACCACCGAGATGCAGCTCGCCAAGACCGTCCACGAGTTCCAGAGCGAGGTACTCGTCTCTGTGTCGACATGTTTCAGCTGAGCCCGTCTCACAGCTGCTCACGCTGATTCATGCAGCCGTAGAGCTCGGAAGACGTCCGCCACGCTGACTTTAAAGTTCATTTGTAAAGAGCTGCTAGTTTGTGTCTTGTTACTTCCTGGTCTATTCTGATTGGTTCTGATGTCGTTCTGTTTCAGAAAAAGTACAAAGAAGACGGGAAGAGGAAGGCCTCCATCTCCATCTACTCGCAGCTCGCTGATACTCCAGAAATACAGCACGCTCTGGAGGTGTCACAGCTGCAGAGCGAGGTACACACACACACACACACC